GCTGCATTTTGCTAGAATAAAAACAGAGAAAGACGTTTTCCTTATCGTGGTAATCGTCATGTTTTCTTTTTTTATAATTGAAGCAGTGACTGGGATTTACACACACTGGCCACTTTATTGGGTACACCTTGCTAGTACTGGGTTGCACCCCCTTTTACCTTCACAACTGCCTTCATCCTTCGTGGCATAGATTCAACAAGCTACTGGAAACCTTCCTCAGAGATCTTGGTCCATATTGACATGAAGGCATCACGCAGTTGCTGCAGATTTGTCGGCTGCACATCTATGATGCGAATCCCCCGTTCCACCACATCTCAAAGATGCTCTATTGGATTGAGATGTGGTGACTCTGGAGGCCATTTGAGTACAGTCAACTAATTGTCATGTTCAAGAAACCAGTCTGAGATGATTGAAGCTTTATGACATGGTGCATGATCCTGCTGGAAGTAGCCTTCAGAAGATGGGTACACTGGGGTCATATAGGGATGGACATGGTCAGCAACTCAGGAAGGCGGTGGTGTTGCAACAATGATCATTTAGTATTGATATGGTTTGATATGGTTTTTTTAAGGCCAATGCCGATACCGATTTTTAAAGAATTTTGTTGCAGATGGCCGATATCTAAAGCCGATTATTATATATATATTAAGGCTGATGATATTATATATGTTTTAGCAGCACATTGATTGTGAAAGACAACTGAACACTCACTGTATGCAATATAAATGATATCTTAATGTTTCTCGAACTTCAAATATAAAACAAACTCAAAATTTTTTAAAATGGTGTGTTGGGGTCATTCGGGTCCTTTCTTCAATCTAGTAGTGGTGGCAGTTGGCCACACAGGTGCCTGATTTTATAAAAAAAATTTTTTTTATCGGCTTTTAAAAATAATTTTGGCCGATATAGAAAAAAATTAAATATATTGGCCGGCCTCTATCAATTTGTACTCAGGGTTGTGCGTGACAATCCCAGAAGATCAGCAGTTTCTGTAATACTCAGACCAGCCCATCTGACACCAACAACCACGTTCAAAGTCACTTAAGTCACCTTTCTTCCCCGTTCTGAAGCTCAGTTTGAACTGCAGCGGATCTTCTCGACAATGTCAGCATGCCACCATGTGATTGGATGATTAGTAATTTGTGTTAACGAGCAGTTGGACAGGTGTACCCAATAAAGTGAGCAGTGAGTATATATTTAATCTTCACCCTGATTTCAGACAAAAATGGGTCTTATCTATTTCTTGTGGTTCCCTCTCTGTCGTGTGCAGAGCTTCTCACCACCTTGCAGATTCACCAGCATTCGCCCTCCTCAACCGTTACTGCTCGGACAGTTTGTCCTCAATTTGAGACGACATTCTATCAGCTTTAAAGTTCCATGATGGGGAGATAACTCTTTCTGGCTTGTTGGAAGCAAACAGACCCCACATTCACTCAGTGGGGTCCAGTCAGGCGTGCAGATATGGTGGGGGACGGGGGGATCTGTCCCCCCCAGATTCAGATAGACCCCGATCCGTCCCCTCAACTAAGGCCAGAAAGAAAACAAAATTGGAGGTTAAGCGCTTGAAGCTCATTTTTCCAATTACACTGAATGCAGCATGACGTAAACAAACACTGACTCCAGAGGCACCAAAGTGGTTGCTGATAGGATGCAGGATGAAGTGAAAAAGGCAAGCAACGATTACTGCGTTTTAAAAAAAGACCAACAGTGTAAGTAGGCGGGACCGATCTGCATGTTGGTTCTAGATTCAGTACGGTGTTGTCAGTGTTGGGACTTACTCGTTAAAAGCGCCCAAGCCTCATTGCTGACTTTAACAAGTCTCATCTACAAATATGATCCCTCATGAAGTTACTACTTTACACCAGAAGATAGTGGAGATGTGGAACCTTCAGGCTGAGCAAAGTTTGGGAGTTTTTAGAGCTTGAAAAACGCCTCCCGCCGTAAGGCTCCCAGTCGGGGAGAGGAGGAGATGCACGCAACACGAAGAGCGCAAATATTAGATAAAACATATAATTGCTGGCAGGTCTGGTTTTTGTTGAATGATCACTTTGTCTGGTCATGACTGACTCAGATTATGAAGCAGAATATTGACTCTGATGAAGAAATTCACTCATCCAGCTGGGAAGATTGACACTGCTGCAGCATCAGACAGCTGGTGCTGCACGAGAGGTGTGTGGAGTTTATGAGCTCCGGTGTGTGGAGTTTATGAGCTCCAAACGTTGGGGGTGGGGGGGGGGGTGTGTGTGTGTGTGGGGGGGGGGGGGGCGCTGGTGCCCATCTCCAGCGGTCAACGGGCAATCAGGCAGGGTACACCCTGGACAGAGAGCCAGTCCATCGCAGGGCAACACAGAGACACACAGGACAAACAATCACGCACACACACACACACACGCACTCACTCACCTAGGGACAATTTAGACAGACCAATTAACCTAACATGCATGTTTTTTTGGACTGTGGGAGGAAGCCGGAGTACCCGGAGAAAACCCACGCATGCACAAGGAGAACATGCAAACTCCATGTAGAAAGATCCCAGGCCGGGAAGCGAACCTTCTTGCTGCAAGGCAACAGCTCTAACCACTGCGCCACTGCGCACCCCACCCCCTAAGTGGATCTACAAAAGGTCTCTGATGCAGGGAAGAATGAATGGATGGATACAGCACAATTAAGACACTCGTTTATATAGTTTATCAGCAAAAAAAAGTTGATTTGAGGGTGACTTGCACTTGAAGTTTGACTGAGAATGTTTGTCTTCAAAAGTTAAAACAACTTTTAAATAAACATGATGCTATGTGTAATAGGGGGCATAAGTCATGCCCATCTGCTTCCAGTCCATGGGCCAAAAAAATGAATGGGAGTCTTTGAGTACATAAATATTATACTTTGATCCAGTTTGATATGTGCCATGGATTTCACACCTGATGTCTGTGAATTTTAATGACACATTTTGATGCCAGGATAGCGCTTATATTAGACTGGAGTCAAAAGTTATTTTAGGTTTTGTGAGAAAAGACGTGGAGAACTCAGAACTGCTCATCTCACCAAATTGACATTATCGAACCAGACAAGAGAAGAAAAATGGCTGAGTTTAGCAAGCTTTGCAACCTTCTTTCAGGACGACAGAAGCAGCATTAAACATGGAGAAAACCACTATAAATCTGGCCATGTGGTAAGTAGCAGCTACGCTGCGGTGGCATCATAAATGCAACGTCTGATTTGTAGTCATTTAAATTAAACATTTTTACAAGGTAATAAATCTTGCATCACGTGACAGACATAGTTGACACACATTACTTTTCATTTAAGTTGAAGTACAACATACATGTGATTCAGGGCGTAAGGCAGAGTGGATTACAAAATAGCTTTTGTAGCCCTGTTCACTTGGGGACTCGTGAGCCGACTGGAAGGGGAGGAGATTTGAGCTTCTTGTTTATTTTTTTAGATCAGGTCATCTTCACCGGGATTAAAAAAACATTTTTAATTATTTATTTCACTCTGAGTTTTTATGCAGGCTGAGCATGAAAACAGACTTCTACACCTATCTCCTGCATCAGCTTCTGATAGGAAGCAGACAGTGAAACTCTAGGATTTGAAAATCGAGACAGATCTACGTCACACTGTCACTTAACATTTATGGACTCGCCCATCTTCACTTGCGACGGGGAAGTCTATTATTGGTTTAGCATCCAGGATCCCAAAGAGAATGACTTGTGTTATTTGTGGAGATAAAACACAAATGTTGCAGAGCAAACAAAATCAGTGCTAGTCGTGTTGCTGTTAGCCAATCAGAGGCCAGATGTCTAAATATCAGTAAATAAGACCCCAAAACCTGCCGCCTGAAGCTACTTTCTGCTCCAGCTGACTCCTATGTGAATTCTAAGGGTTTGGGCCAATGTTGGAAGAATCCCAGCTTCACCAACTTGCAACTACATCTCTTGTATTTGTTACAAACCTTTATTGCTGTCTAGTGATCAGCTTATCTGTATTTGGATGTTCTTCATGTTTCAACAGTTGATGCTTTTCTGTCTCTCTGCTGGTCAGGTTGAACATCCTGCTTGGTGGCATGAAACCACTGTACTTCCACATGGTCAACGTGTGTTTGCACTGTGCTGTTACCTGCCTGCTCATGTACACATGTGAACGCTGCGTGTTTGAAAACCCACATTTGGCCTTTGCCACAGCGGTCCTCTTTGCTGTTCATCCCATCCACACTGAGGCGGTGAGTACCCACTCTTATCCGTACGCACACTAATGTTATTCCATTCTGATTGTCCTCTTAGCTCTAACATTTAATTCATTTTAGGTAAAAGAATATAAAGTAGTTATATGTTAGTTCCACTGTGGAGCACTGAACCATTGTTTTAGTGGTCTATACATGTGATCACATTGGTCTGCACTTGTAGTTCACCTAGTTTGTACTTTAAAGGACTTCTTGACATCTCTGCAAATCTGAAGCATCACGTTTAGTGTTTTGCTCTTTGGTCATTTGTTTTCCTTTGGTGGACACAATAAACTGGGGGAGGGCGTGTATGTGACTCCCCTGGTAATTTGAATCTGGGAAAGGCTTCATGGTTTGTGTGGTGGAGTTCAACAACTCCTGATTCCTTTCATAAAAACGTTTAGATGTTATTATTTCACCCCAAAGCAGGACTGAAGCAGTTCTGACTGTCTTGTGTGTACTGTTACTGCCCAGCAGTCACTTATCTGGTCCACATCTAATGAATGAAGCTCATGTTCCACATCTGAAAAGCCTCCATTCATCAGGCTGGGTGCTCCTCTTTCTGCTGCAGCACACAACATGTGTGCATCTAGTCTGCCATGCGTCATTTTGCTGTTAACCAATGCACTGACAATGACACATGTGCATGCGCACTCACACACACATAAACATGCGTGTGTGTGTGCACACTGCTGCTGAGCTTTAGCAGATTTTACAAAACATACAGAAGTGCCCATCACACACATGCCTCCTGCTGTCAGTGAGATTAATGAAGATTATTTAGATCCCTCAGTAGTTGGATTCTAAATTTTCAGCTAGAAGATGTGTGTGTGTGTGTGTGTCCTCGCTTTTGACATCACTTAGTTAACCAAAGAAATCTTTGAGAGCTGAGGACGTCAAGAGATGAAGCAGAAATAACTGAAAACAAAGTGAATGATAAAACGTGATGGAAGGAGAGATGGAAGATAAAAAGATGAGCGGGTCAAGGTGGTGAAAAGAGTGGATCTGTTTACATGAATAGAATCTGAGTGTGTAAATGTTCTGTCTCAAAGGATGCACATGAACGCGTGCACACACACATATGCACAGTAAATATAATAATGTAAATTTTGGAATAAAGAGCAGTGAACAGATTAATCCCCAGCCAAGACACACAATACACACAGAGGACAGCTAAAACTGCTGATTTGACTGAAAAATTAATTACTTTTTGGAGGACCTAGGCTGGCCTGCCAGAGTCGTCCTCTGTTTAATTCTGCACAGAGACTTGAGTCTGGTAACGCTCCCATGCAAATGACCCCACCCCCTGAGAATTCTAACCGAGCCAATCAGAGCTGAGCAGCGTATGTTTCTGAGCAGCTCAGTTTCTCATGAACAACGAAGATAGCGTTTGAAGTGGACTTTGCCGCAGCTCTTTCTTCTTGGACATGTTTTTAAAACCACAACAAAAAGAACCAATAAAAGCCTTCCTTCTAAAGAAAGATGTGTGCACCATCGCCAGGTGCCATTTTTGACTACATCTAAAAGACTACATCGTCACGCGGTACAGTCGGCATTTCTGCATTTTTTCTGATTGGCTATTTTTGAACTGGCTAGTCCCGCCTTTCATGTGCTTCTCTGCCTTTGAGTAACCAGACATACTCTGCTCAGTGCTGATTGGCTCGGTTACAATTCTCAGGGGGTGGGGTTATTTGCATGGGAGCGTTACCAGACTCTCTGTGCAGAATTAAACAGAGGACGAGTCTGGCAGGCCAGGCTATGGAGGACCCATGACTTGTTGGCAAACTTTTGACCTGTTGAAGGACTTGTGACTTGTTGGAAGACTCATGAATTGTTGGGGTACTCGTGACCTGTTGGAGGACTCGTTGGAGGACTCGTGACTTGTTGGAAGTTACATTTTGATTGATTAATCCTAAGGTTTTTAGCTGGAGACAAACATATTCATACTCATTACCTCATTATCAAATGTTCGTAAGACCTGTCCTATACTCTTTCCTACGAATTAAATTTAGAATGTTTGTACGACCGGTCAAAATCGTGATTTATGAAACATGCGGTGGTCTCTGGTATGCACGTTCCTCCGCACTCGTCTGATGATAGATCCTACCTGTGTGTACTCAGGTGCTCGTGTCCGTTCTCAGTCATTTACATACGGAAACACCCTCATTTAAACATATTTGGTCACGCTATGTACTCAGCACATGAGGTAATCCTCTGTGTTCTACCCAGAAAGAAAAAGAAAACTTTGTTGCGCGATCGAGACAATGGCTGCCAAAGTGCAAACAAACCAAACAAGTTGCAGAGGTTATAAATGTGGTCGGATCAGAGGAGAGGTTCCCATCAGAAATAAATAAAAACGTAAAGTAACGAGTTCTCATTTTCATTTTGCATTTAAGGAGTTGTTCTGGTCGGGGTTAGGTTTATTTGTTGGAAGTGCAGCCTCTTCTGAACTGTCATTCAGTCTGGTTACCTTGACGATGAGGCACGTGTGATCGGGGAGCAGAGGAGGTTCTGGAGGGTTCTCGTAGTTGTAAAATAGAATATGAACTGATATCAGTTTCAGGCAGTTTGTCTGTCGTTCCACAATGAGTCCCAAATCCCAGTATAGCTCCTGACGGATCTCCTGTCAGTGCGCTCACGGAAACACGTTTACTCAGAGAGCACACACTGACAAATCCTTAATAATAATAATAATAATAATAAACGATCTTTTATCTAGCGCATCTCAAGCAAAATTACGAGGTGTTTCACAAGAACAAAAATATGATATAATTAAATAAAAATAATATTAATGAATTAAAAACGTAACTTAATAAAAATGGGAAGGGAAAACAATTTTATTACAAAAAACATGGCAAATATTCTACAATGTCAGATTCCCGTCGGGTGTTGTAACACCAACTATGTGACTCAGCAGTTTTTCCCCCGAAATAATTATTTATTGGGTAAAATTACTTGTGGACGAGGAACATGTGTGCATGACTGACACCTTCGGTGTTGCGGTTCCCCCATTCTACCACTAGATGCTGTTCCTACGCATGGTCTGAAGTTTTCTTATATTCAGGAACATTTCCACGCACAGGTACAAAATGATGAATACCACACAATGCGTAAATTGGTTCCTACGCACGATGCACACACAGATCTGTGCGTAAGTACGGTTGATAAGTGAGGCCCCAGGAATATATGTTTATTATAAATGTTTATTTTATAGTTAATATTTGTGTATTCTGTTGGTGTTTAGTACAAATATGTTTCTACAAGCAAGCTGTCTGATTTAGTCATGCACACGTGAAATACAAACTCAAACCTTTTTACAGCACAGAGACAAAGAAGTTTCAGGGTATGAACTTGGGCTGTGGAGCATTTTGATGTAGTGCCGACGTGTTTTTATTCATCGTAAAAGACAAAGTTTCTAGTTTCTCTCCTGGGGTACAATTACTGTGTTTATTGTCTCAGGAATAATGAAACCTGAAGAATGAATGGGGGAAACCAAACCAAAGGCATTCGCTTACAGCCTTTTTGAGGGACTCATGCTTGGATGCTTTGGGGTTTTATTACAGGGTATATTTATTTTTTTAATGTTTTATCTTTTTTCATTTCCAACTCCCAACTTCAAAAGCTGCCAGATGGTTTGGAAACAATTTGAGAGACTACAAATGTTCTAGTTCAGGGATAACCAGTCCTGGTCTTTTAGTGTTGCTATCCTATTTGTTTTAGTTGTTTCCCTTTTGTTTCCCTTTTCTCATTTAATTCACACAAAAAAAACTTGAGTCAAAATGTAACTGAATCAACTTTTTTGTTGATGATACTGTTTTATACATGTGGGTGAACAGGTTTCAGTCTTCTCAGTTTGGTGTTAGGAGCTCAGACCAAACCAGAACCCCAGAGACAGGGAGCAGAAAGGTACAGGAGGCTGGAGATGTACTGAGGAGAACACCCAGGTGAAAGGGTGAAATGGTGAGAGGGACACGTTGATTTGGAGCAAGTAGAGTTTTGTGTTAACACGCACTTCCCTCAGGCAGAATCCTCAAGGAGGGTCAGAGTCTTCAAGGCAATCTGTCAGTCACAATGACAGAGATAACACAGGTATGTATGTGTGTGTTTGTGTGTATTTTGCAGGTGTCTGGTGTTGTTGGCAGGGCTGACGTCTTGGCTTGTCTGCTGTTCTTGGTGACATTCCTCTCCTATGTTAGGTAAGCTTCCATCCCATCCCATCCCAGGGCCTGAAATTCACTTCTAAAAATAGGGGGGAATTCCCCCCTCACATATGTCTGTACAGGGGGAATTTATATATGGGGGGGGGGGGGGGGGGGATTACCGAATGTGCAGTCTTATGTTGTTCTAATCATACCTTACATCACGTTTATGAGCAGCTTTCATTGGACTCCTGCAGCATTCTCATCTTCGTTGCTCTTGTCCCTTTCTTTGTTTCATCTCCTCTGCCTGATTTCTTTCCTCACACAGAAGTTAAAGAAAGAAATATAAACTTTCCAGGAACTACTTGTGGGATTAACAATAGGCCTTAACATTGTTGTATTCTTACCTCAGATTGATGCATTTATTAACCTTTTTTAATCTTCCTTAGTGGTCCTCATAGCTGCATCTGTGGCCATCTTTTCTTTTGTCTGAATGTTGTCTTTTTCTTGGCCTCTAACACTGCATCTTTCTCCATTGTAATAACTTTGAAGTATAAAAATCAAATAAAAATGCTCCTTTTTGCTGCACTGGTATTAGAAATTATCTGAACAATTTTCATTGCTGAAGTTTGTTGTCCAACTCTCTGGGCTGCATCTTTGCTCTTGTTTGTGCTTCTTTATGTTGTCTCCGTCTTCGCTTCTTACTCTGATTTCTGTCTCTGAATTATTCTATCTCAAACTGATAAATTTTCATTAACCCAACATTTAACACCAACAGTTTCGTTGATGTGGCATCAAACACAATTGCAACTATAATACCGTACATTATTGTATCTGTTAGCTCACAGTACTAATTAGTTTTGGAGCGGGGTTCTCCCACGCTCCGCTTGGTCCTCTGTCCTCTCTGTCATCTGTCTCCACTGCTTCATCTCTTTCCATTTGATAAAAGCTCGGTTGAAATCAAACTGCACTTGCGGAGGGCCATTTTACAGATGGAGCAGTTCATTTCACCATTACTATTTTCAAGCCAGGGATACAGTCTGAGCCAGTTAGCCTGAAACTTGTCTTAGGCTGCTTGCTAACGTTACTTTCAATGATGCTACCTTTTTGAAAGTGCGGAGGATCTGTCTCCCGTCTCATTCACAGCATCGCTGGAATCAGCGCTGCCTCCCGCCCTGCCTCCAGTGCCTCCTCCCTCGCTGCCTTCTGCGCTGAGGATTTCTTGTAAAGTTTTTTTGGGAGCAGGTTCCCCTTCGTTGTTAGATTTCCGTTTTAACCAGCGGTCCATGTCTGTGTGCAGCCGTTAAATCTGACAACCGAAGCACTGCTTTGCTGCTAGCAAGGGACTGAGCTCGTATTTTGATAAATGGAGAAAAAAAAAATCCAGCGTGCCGCCAATCACCAAGATGAAGAAGGGGTTCGATGTTGTGGGATTTTAATGGCTCCTATACAAACGTCCACATTCGCTGCAGGCTGTGCGGGACTTTCCCGCATTATCAGGCGCGTTGCAAGCATTTCAAAAGTGTGGGGGATGTTGTCTGTGCCTAAAATAATTTTATGTTATTCATCTTGTTAGTTTAATTTCCATAATAGCGGAGCAGGTGCGAATTTTAGACGCGTCACGCATGTCTCCGTTTTAAACATGTTTAAACTACTCAGAATACAAATCCAGGCTCTGTCTCGTTAGATTGGTGTAACTAAAGTTTGTACTGAATGAAACTTTACATTAAACCATATTGAAAAGAAAAGGATCCGATTAAATCGTTTCCCCCTCATTTTACAGTCAGTACAGTGCAGTGCGCGTGGCTCTGGGGTTAATCAAGTTTAATTGTTTCTCTTTGCAACAATCTTCACAGGAAGGCAAAACAGTTAAATGGCAGGTTACAGATATTTCCATTTGACTGTTTATTTTGACGGATAAACTCAAGGATGTTGGTTGTTTTGAAAGAATTACCCCGACGCACACTGATACGCACACAGATGAGCTGACATTTTAATCGTTACGCACATTGCGGAGGTAACTAAATAAATCAAGAAATGATTCCCATCAGAACGTCAGAGCTTTATACTGGACACTGTGCTCAGCGCGGCTCGGAGCGCCCACGGTGGACAGTGGGCTGAAGATCTGTAGAGGGGTTCGCAGCGCAGTGCAGAACCACGAAGCATGCGATAAGATTTCCTCCCACTGAAACGGTCTGGAAAGCCGGTCTCTCTGAGGGATGTGTCACTTGGAAAAATGTTCGCTGATTATGAAACTGGCTGAATAGCGCTTGTTCCTGTCTCCAATATGGAGACGCATGACGCATCCAGTCTGAGGCAGAACAGCCTCTTCAGCTCAGAAAGCACCTGTAGAGACATTTGATTACGCACAAAGTTTATGTGGAGCAGAAGCGGTCGGGCCACGGCAGGTGAAATGTTCCTAGCCTACATGAAGTGAAACTGTTTAATTGTAACATTAATATGTTACTGGACACGCTGGTCTGGTTGGTTAGACCAGTGTTTGAAGTGGAACACACACACACACACACACACACACACACACACACACACACACACACACACACACACACACACACACACACACACACACACACACACACACACACACACACCAATTAAAATAATCCTGATAGCGTGGACTAGAAGACAGATGATGGTTTACGTGTTTAAATGATGATCAGGCTGCTGTAAAATGTAATTCCATCCACATCCAGACACAATTATCCTCTATTCTTTCTCTATTTGCTCTGCTCTTGTCTGGGCTGACGTAGCTGACGGCGCTCCTAGCAGCTGTGATGCACATTTTACGCATTTGGAGAGGTGGGCTGGATGCTTTGCTTTTACTGGAAGATGGTCCACTTAACGCACGGGTGTAGACTAAATATTAATGACAAATGAATGAAAATTAAATTGTGAGTTTTTACTTCATATTTTAGAAATAAAAATGACGGGGGAACACATTTATGACGTCTTTTTAAACTAAATTTTCCAGCGCGACCTGCCTGCTTCACTTAAGTCACTGCTTATTAAGTTCCGTCCAAAATGACCGTGGCCCACCCAAAAATGAAAACCTGGCGCCGCCGCGCCTGTTATAAACCTCTGAAAATTGTTGTTCTTCACTTTATCAAACTCAGACTTTGTACAGCTAATGTCAAGATGTAAAATTATGAATTCAGTCAAGCTCTTCCGTCCCTCCCTCTCCTGCTCTCCTGGAAACCCGACATCGGCTGTCAGAAGAGGGAGGGGAAGAAGGAGACGAGGCAAACAGAGTTAGTGCGACATAAAGAAACCAGACTGGTGTGGAGGTGAGCAAAACAGCTGGAAAAGTGTGGGTGTTGAATCCCCCACATCCCCCACGGGTGCGACGCCCATGCGCATTATAAAACTAGATTAGTGAGAAGCGACTATAACGTGCAATACCTGCAATCCCGCAGTGAATTTCAGGCCCTGCCACACACACACGCACGCACTCACACACACACACACACACACATCTGTCTTTCTATCATAGTGAGAACCCTCTATTGACTTCCATTAATTTTTGTGACTCCACTGTTCCTAACCCTAACCCTAACCAATGCTGATCTATTCTTAACCCTAACTAGAACTTAAATCACACCATACCTCTAAAACTAACAGGTAAGCTTTTAATCAAGTGAGGACCAAATAAATGTCCTCACTTTGTAGGGAAAATTGTGGAAACGGTTCTCAGTATGTAGTAAGTACAATAACACACACACACACACACACACACACACACACACACACACACACACACACACACACACACACACACACACACACACACACACACCGATCTAGAAATAGAGTCGTCTCATCCAGACCTTGTTTTTCAGGAACATTAGTTTCTATCAGTCCCTCATAAATGTTGATCCCTTGTTTTGGAGATTTAATGTCTTATTTAAAGTTAAAGGCTCATTAGTCATCACACGATGGTGAAATCCATCTTGCATTTGACCCATCCCTGAGGGCAGCAGTGAGCTGCAGACACAGCTGTGCTTGGGAACTATTTGGCGGTTTAACCTCCAATCCAACCCCTTTAAGCTTAGTGTCCCGGCCGGGATTTGAACCCTGATCTCCCAATTCCAGGGCGGACACTCTACCACGAGGCCACTGAGAACTGTTGATATCTTTAGTTCTAGTTTGATCATTTAATACCATAAACTTCATATTTTATGGTTATTCCTGTGGGATAGTTCTGAAATGCTAGTCAGAAAGAGGCTAGCTGGTATTTTAGTGACTTGACTCTGGACCTGAGGCCAGACAACATAATCTGATTCTGGTTTCTCCTGCTCAGCTGGGTGATTTAGAACATCATTTGTGTCAGCTCCAATGATATTCTGGGGTCAGATGTCACAGCATCGTTTCTGATCCCCCACTTCCTGTCCCTGTTTATTTTTATGCACGTTTATCCAAAAAGACCTACCTTCTCTAGATGTGTTACTGACTCCTTCCTCCCTGTTTTGGTGTAGGAGTGTAGGAGAAAGTGTCTCTGAGGACTCCGTGCCCTCCACAGCATCCCCCTGGTTTCTGTTCATCAGCTTGTTTCTGGGAACCTGTGCCATGCTGGTGAAGGAGACTGGTATCACTGTGTTTGGAGTGTGTCTTCTCTACGATGCCCTGGTGCTCTGCTGCAGACCGCTCACTCAGTACGCACACAGGGTTTGGGCTGGTTTCTCTTTTTCTTTTGATTGATCATTTATTTCTTCTTGATCAGTGAGTATAATTAGAGCTGAATGTTGGCCTTGTTAGTGCTGCTGCTGTGGACTCAAACCTTGTTTTTAATTACTTTCTCAGTGTTGTATTTGTACCTGCCTTCATTGGTTATGATGCCTGATGCAGTCTGATTTGTCTTCCTTTCTCATGAACCTCAGTCACGCTTCTGGTTCCAGACTCAAAAACCTGCCCCACATCTGCATCCCCTTCATTAAACGAGCTTGCCTCATCTCTGCAAATGTGAGTATTTATTCTTCCGTCATCTTATACTGTAGAGCTCCGGACGTCACGTGACTTTCAGAGAGTAGACGCCATTTTGGCAGGCAACAAAGGTAAACAAAATGAACGGAATCAGCTTGGATTTAACTCCGTCAGAGTTTACTTCACACTTTAAAACCAAAGAAATCATTTTATAAAGTCAGAAATTAAATAGACTAAACATCTCCGACCCTTACCATGCCCCTGGGATACTTTTTAAAACGCCAGAAGCTGTCCAAGCGGACCTCTTACTGGATTTGAGATACCCTGACATGTATAATTTCCTTGTTAATTTTCCCTCGTCCTACTCTGGAGTATCGCTAAGAGCATATAAAAGCCTGGAGGTATACAAATGGACTCAATCAGGGTTTGTTCTCTGTATCCAGATCTGGATTCTTCCTACAAAGGACTGCGCCGTTGTCACTGGGAGGTTAAGTGGAAATTTTTCCATGAATAAAATAAATGTCAGGCAGGAGCGTCTCAGGATCTGTCTGAGATCCGTCTCGCTGAGGCAGATAATAGCAATCCAAAGTGCTTTTTAAGTGTGATCTGACAATTGATCAACCATTGCTTAAAAATTAAATGCAGCTTAGCTGGTTAATTGCTGTGATCATAAAACACGGAAACGGCAGCACGCAGAAATCACGAGGCAACGTTTTACGTGATGTTTACTTGTTGCTGTGAGTAATAAGACAGAAAAAGCCACGCCAAAATAAGTTTAGGAAGCCCACTAAGAATCGTAATAAAGGCATTTAAAATAAATACCATACACAGTTGAGGAAACGTTGGTTTAAGTACCTGATATGAAGCGGTTGCTGCATAAGCGAAAACCTTTACTCTCGGGATCCCACAGTTTCATTTTAGCCTGGAGGCTAGCGCGTTTCATTACAATGATCCAACGTTTGCGGCATTCCGGATCTTGGGGAATCCTGTAGGTGGCTCTTCCCTTATGTCGTCTGTGTCTGTTCTGGCATCCTGGGGCACAACAGGAATCTACCATATTTTCCGTTCGATTGAGTTTTCTGACAATAACAAATAGCCCAGCTGCCGGCTTCTGCCTGCCAATATGGTGCTGCTCGATTTGAACTGTTGCATGCCGGGAGAAGTGACGTCAACTCCTAGAGCTCTATACTCAGGAATTAACTGTCAAATCTGCCATCGTGACTGGCTGATCAGACATTCAGAAACATTCAGCCAGACTAAAGCAACAAGTACAGCTTGCATCTTCTGTGTTGTAGGTTTTCTTAGTGAGGAGAATGTGTAGTAACCGTGATGTATTTTAAACGAAGGTCCAGGAGACACGCGAGGTTGGTCAAAACCCTCAGATTTTATTACGAATGTTGAAAACGAGTTCAGTTATTAGTACAGACCCTGTTTCAGCTTCAGCTCTGCGGACAACAGAAGTTCTCTGTTGATAATACAGAAGATCAAAACAGAAGTGCTAAATGGTAAAACAGAGTGAAAGTTTAGTTCACCTGTCTAACCCCTCCCCCCTTCCCCCCAGCTGGTGATCATCATGTCTGTTCGGCTGTGGCTGATGGGTGGATCCATGCCTCTGTTTTCAGAGCAGGACAACCCTGCTTCCTTCTCGCCTCACCTGCTCACCAGGTAAGCAACACACACACACACACACACACACACACACACACACACACACACACACACGCACACACACACACACACACACACACACACACACACACACACACACACACACACACACACACACACACACACACACACACACACACACACACACACACACACACACACACACACACCACAACACAACACACACCTGATTGATATATTTGTTTAACGATTGTGTTTTTTATTATCTCCTCCTTGTTCTGCTTTTCTTCTCTTCTCCACATGTTCTTCTGCTGGTAGAACTCTAACCTACTCATACCTGTTGTCCTTCAACGCCTGGCTGCTGCTGGCCCCCATTGTGCTCTGTTATGACTGGCAGGTGGGCAGCATTCCCCTGGTGGAGTCTGTGGTTGATGTGAGGAATGTTGCCACCCTGCTGCTGGCTGCTGTGATGGTCGCACTCTGCATGCACTGCATCTTCTCTCTGCAGGTGAGACGCAGGAAGTGACAGATTTTCTGCATGTCAGGTTTTGGTGTTTTTCACAAATGAACTGAGACGATGAATGTGTTTGTGGATTCTCTCCATCCACAGTGGCAGGAGAACAGGGAGGTGGTGGTGGGGCTTCTGTTCCTCGTGTTTCCCTTTATTCCTGCCAGCAACCTTTTCTTCAGGGTGGGATTTGTTGTTGCTGAGAGGGTGCTCTACATGCCAAGGTGAATGTTCGTGGATTAATAACTTCAGATTAACATGTGAATGAAAGACTGGTGGAGTTCCTCTTGTTTGGAGAACAACTTCGACTCAGAGTGGAGAATGTGACACACTTCCCATTTTGGTTGGTACAGGGATCAGATAGTCCCAGACACCCCATAAGACAGGTAGGACACCCCATACTCACTCAGGACCCTCACAGAAGAATCAAGGAGCACAACTGTGAACCTTCTTTGGGTCCACATCAGAACCAAACTCTGCTGGAATCATTAATACTTCCTGAATAAACAAATGTGAGATGGAACATCTAACTCTACAACATGTTAGGATGTTGGAACCAGTCTCTGAGGTGTTTACCTTCTTTCATCCAGAATCTTCTGTGAAACTAGAGAACAGACTTGAGCTCAAACTGATGGGGCCGTACCACCATCCAGATGATGCTACGCTCCTGTTTTCACAGTGTGATCAGAGTAAAGATGTGTTTGTAGGGACACATGTCGGTGAAACTGTGTTTTACAGAGACATGGTGTCAACACTAAGAATGTCCCGTCTCTTCACTCCACTCTTTCATTTCTAATCCTTCCCCTACACCCTGCTGTCTTTCCAATCCTCTGCTCTTGCAGTATGGGTTACTGTATTTTGGTGGTTCATGGCTTCGGCCGGCTCTGCGCGGTGGCGGGTCGATGGGGCACCATGCTCCTCAGCAGCTCCATGCTGCTGCTGCTGCTTCTCTTCTCCTGGAAAACGGTCCAACAGAACAACGTCTGGGTCTCCCGGGAGGCCCTGTTTCGGTAAGTCTGCAGTCAAGACTCCATCATTGGTGGTAAATCAGAGCTACATATGAGATTTTCTTACCAATGAACATTCATTTAAAATTCACCACATCGTTATTTATTAAACTGAAACATAAAGCAGGAGTTTAGTCAGTCAGCTGCTCTGGAGCATACAGGTGAAAAACATCCACAATGACAAGTGGCCTGTATTTATTATTTTTTGTACATGTTATTTTCTTTGACTGCTAGTTTAGCTAAATGTTCTTTTATTTTTATCTGTTTCTCCTATTTCTAAACTTGTGATTCTGTCACTTTGTTGTAAAGCAGTTTGGTTTTTACCTTGGAAAGGTTCAAAATAAATACATTTAACTTAGTTACATATATACAACATTCTAGAGTCCAAGAACCCCCCAAGGTGCTTTACAACTCAACATTCACACACACACGCACGCACGCACGCACGCACACACACACACACACACACACACACACGGTGATGTGGTGATGTAGCCACATCTGCCCATGGGCTCTCTGACAGAAGTGAGGCTGCTGTATGTGGGCGCTACCGGCCTGACCACCGCCAGCAGGCAGAGGGTGAAGTGTCTTGCCAGAACAACTATAACTGGATAACAACTGTGACAACAACCTTAGAGAAACAATTGTTACTCCCCAACAATCCGGGAAAGGGTCAAAGGTCATTATCACACTATCTGGAGTCTATTCTCCTGTTGATAAAGGTCAACTCTCAACAAACCCAAGAGCTGAGTCAGCTGGTCAAAGGTTAAAAGATCGTGACAGAGAGGAGACTTCGGGACTCATGAGACCAAAGTAGACGTTAACCTATGAATGATAAATGATAAATGATCCGCACTTGTATAGCGCCTCTCAGAGTAAGGACTCCAAAGTGCTTTACACTACAGTGTATCATTCATCCATTCACACACACATTCATACACTGGTGGTGATGAGCTACAGTGTAGCCACAGCTGCCCTGGGGTGCACTGACAGAGGCGAGGCTGCCGAGCACAGGTGCCACCGGTCCCTCCGACCACCACTAGCAGGCAGCGTGGGTTAAGTGTCTTGCCCAAGGACACAACAGCAGAATTCTCTTTCCGGAGCCGGGATCGAACCTGCAACCTTCCGTTACTGGACAACCTGCTCAACCTGTTGAGCTACTGCTGCCCCATGTACCTATAATGTACAGTAGTCTGTCCGGTGAAACCGTAATCAGAAGTTGGTTCTGGGAGTTTTGACCCGAACTCATAAGAATTGGCTAGGAGTAGAACTGGATATGTTTACACTTCTGCCTGTCTGTTTTCAATCGTAACAAAATGGAATTGAGGTATGCAGATATGTTGTTGTTATGGCCATCATCCTGGCCTCTTCAGCTGCAGGAGCTAGGACCATCCAGCGGCATTAATGGGCCATAGCTCAACCCTTCCTCCTCCCTCCCAGACAGCAGGTATGCGCAGCTTTTTATCCCTGATGCACCTCATCAGGGAGATGCGACTGAGCTGCGCTCCTCTGCAGCCTGCAAGAGAGGAGGACGAGGGGCGGAGTCCTGGCCAATTAATGGGGCTGGATGGTCCTAGCTCCTGCAACTGAAGAGGACAGGCTAATGGCCATAAACGTTCATTTAAATTAAATAAAGAAGCCAGCCAAAGCCCCACCGGTTAACAAACTGGCTCTTTAAGACCAAACAGAACCACTTCTGTTGTTCATGTGAGAGTCAGCTATTCAAGAGTTAGGGCTGGTTAGACACTCAACACTTCCTGTTAGAATATAAACAAGTTGTTCATGTCAGTCCTTCATGATCAAACGATGAAGACGGGTCTGTTTATCTAGATCTGGGCCGGTCTCAGACCCTGGACTCCTTACCTTACATTAAACAGAGTCGACACAAAGCTAAGGGAAGTCTCAAGAACATCCTGGAGACTGGGGAGTTCATTCACACCAGGAGTAGACCAATATATTCAGCTGATATTTATCATTTTTTTAATACATCAGCATCAGCATCAGCCGATATCCCTCAGTAGTACAGCTGATTTTAAGTCAGGCTCATCTGCGGGCAGCCCAGTTCTGCTGCAGAATTTAACTTAAATGTAAGATCTATACTTTTGCATATACTTTAAAAGTTTATTTTAAACTAAAATATCTTTTGACTTACCTGTTTTGAATATTTAATACTTGGTCAGTTAATTGATTTTTTTTGTCTGATTAACACTGAGCAGGGCACAAAATTAAGATTTAATAGTTGGTTAAACTGAGTGTTCAAGAACTGATTCAGCTTCAGAAAGTTTGTGCATCAACTGATGTTCCATTTTTTGGTTCTTTTTAAAACACAGGAAAGGCTTTTTATTTATCTGCAAACGTTTCGTTTGCGGCTGCAAACATCGTCAGAGCTGACGCTGATGGTGGCGTCACTTCCTTCTCCGTTTAAACGGTTAATAAAAAGCTTTCCTGTGTTTTAAAAAGAACCAAAAAATGGAATTAGAAACTGAACACAGCAAGAACACACCAAAGAGCAACTGATGTTTTTAGTAGCATTTTAGCCAATAAATAAGGTGGAAAATGTCTAGATATTGGCCATCAGCTGATTGTGACCGCCACTTATCGACATTGATATCATCAATAAAAAAACCATAATGGTCGGCCTCTGATTCACATACCAGTTAACTGAAGTACACCTAATAATACCAAGAACTCAAGTCTAAACGTGTCTCATTGTCTAGTTGGAAACTGAATGAAACAGGTCTGTTTGGATTCCCAGGGACCTTGCTGTCTGTCACACATACTTAAGTCATGTCCTCTCTTGTCTTTCTGTTCAGTTCTGGGATCCAGACTTTACCTCACAATGCCAAAGTCCACTACAACTACGCCAACTTCCTGAAAGACAGCGGTCGACATTCGGAAGCCGTTCACCACTACAGCCTTGCCCTCAGGTGACACCCCAGTGAGAACACAGGTTCTCCATTCTAGACCAGTGAAATGTGGCACTGCTCTATGTTAACACACACAGCCTCACCAGTATGGAGGACTGAAACGGTCCAGATTTTATGAGTGTTGGATGGTGGAAGCAGCTAACCCAGTGTTTGGTTGGTTGAAAAAAACTGGATCAAAACCCTGAAGAAGGAGAATTTTTCGTGGATTATGGATTATCTTTGAGAAGTAACCTTCCTAAGACATTCATGTTGGATCAATCGGCAGTTCTAAATTAACTTTAAAGACATCCTTCACTGAGAAACTATTATTTACTTGTTATTTTTGAAAAGGATGGGCCACTCTGAGTTTAACATGTAGGCTGAACATGAAAATTGTGTCCTACACCTCAGGACTCACTCATATCAGTTCACAACGAGGAAGGCTGTGATTGGTTTAGTGTCCAGGAAACGGCAGAAAACGTCTCTACTAGTAGAAGCTAACCATTAGCATTAGCAACTCTACCACACAGCAGAAGCTCCTCCAGGCTTGTGTTATTTGTAGAGATAAAATATCTATGTTTTAAAAAAAAAACTGTTTCAGTGGTAGAGTTGCATTGCTGTTAGCCAATCTGAGGTGAGATGTCCAAATATCAGGAAATAAGACTCCAAATCTTGTCATCTGAAGCTACTTTCTCCTCCAGCTGAATACTCTGTGCAGAAACAGGTGCACCTGTGCTTTTTTCTCCAGGATATGACTTACCCATTCATTCCTACTAGAGACTAAATGTATTAAAATATGAATGCAAAAATAGTCAAATTGTGTAATAAAACAGAAACAAAGTTGAAATGTTTGGACAATCCACAGAGCTGATGCAAACGTATCCATTCCTCAGTCAGAAACACACTTGGCAAACCTCTATGTCAACAAGTACAAAAAGCACCTGTTACAGTAAAACATTGCTCTCTACTACCTAATTTCTTGTTCTGAGTGCAACAGCATGAAATAATTTTTTCTTTCTTTAAAGTAGAAATTTAGATTTCATAATGAAGATTAAAACTGCTGTTTGTTTCAGGTTATATCCCCGTCATGCCAGCGCCATGAACAATCTGGGCACTCTGACTCACAGCCCAGAGGAAGCTGAGCGCTACTACAGGAAGGCGCTGGACATCAACCCTCAACATAACCGAGCTCTGTTTAACCTGGGGAACCTCATCAAGTGAGACACACACTGAAAGGCTGAGCAGATGTGTGGTGAAAGCTTCACCTCTCTGTGGATGCTGCTGCAGGTGCAGCTAAAATACTGCACATTACCTATAGAATCCCTCATTATTTTAGTAGTTTACTTAGTAAAAGCACACCCAGAATGCTCTGTTACAATCTACAATTAATCAATTACAAAATAATATTAATGTCGATGGTTACAATATTAATAATAACAGAAACAGTCAAGTTCTGGAGCAAAGTGGAGTTCTCTTCCTCAGCCTACTCTGGAAATAACATTCTTGGGATTTTGTTTTCTAAAAAACATTTTGAGATGGAACATTTCAGTTTTAACTCACTACTTGCTTCTCATTTATTTTCTACATTCTGACCTTAAAATGCTATTGTACTACTGAGTCTCATTCTGTGTACAAAAGAAAACAGTCTGAACCCCCATGAATATTAAAGAGCAAGCCACCCCCAAATCAACTTTTTTTTCTGATAAACTATATAAATGCATGTCTAATCATGCTGCTGACGCATGTAGTCAATAGTTTTGCACTTTAGTGCATGTTAATTCAAATTTAAAATTTCTGCCTAAAACTGTCAGTGTTCTGCCATTGTCAGGTAAAAACTGCTCTGAATTTGAATTTAAATCTGTCATCGCTATTGGCTAAGAGGTACCCTAGAACGTTAGCTGGTACCATATGATGTCACAATGTCATTGTGAGCCTGTGTGTGTGTGTGTATTTGTTAGCGGCTCCGCCCTCTCGGTCTGCTAGGCAACAGCATTTGTTGCATTTTTCAAACAGGAAGTGGGAATCTGGTAGGGGGGTGACTTGCTCTTTAAGCAAGTGCTTATAATTAAGGCTGGGAAATAAATTAAATATTTGTCTTTAGTGAAATTTCTGACTCTAACCAATATCATTTTACCCATGTCAATAAATTCAGTAATTAAAAAATGGAAATATGAGTGTGGGTTAGCAACATCATGTCCCTTTATAATAATGCATTGAACTTATATAGCGCTTTTCTAGACACCCAAAGACGCTTTCGCACACTCTCACATTCACACACTGCTAGTGATGGTAAGCTACTTGTAGCCACAGCTGCCCTGGGGAGGTCTGACAGAGGAGAGGCTGCCATTTGGCGCCGTCGGCCCCTGTGACCCCCACTAACACAGGCAAGTTGGGTGAAGGGTCTTGCCCAACGACACAACAGCAGGATACCCCTGGCGGGAGCTGGAATCGAGCCCATGACCCTCCGACCATGAGGCAATCCACTCTACCACCTGAGCTACTGCCCCATTTATGAAGCTGTACCACCCCAAGTCACATGACAAATACACGTGACAGCCCCATCTAGTGGACAACTTGTTTTTGCGCACACATGTAGTTATCGTCCATTTATCGTAATCGAGACAAAGTCTTCAATATACCGTGATATTGTTTTAGGCCATATTGCCCAGCCCTACTTATAATGATGGTCTGACTCATATTTTAGTTATAGTTTGTTTTTCTTAGGTGCGGATTAAAACAGCAGCACTAGTAGATCTGGTTGTGTGTGATCAGACTAAGTTATGGTACTAGTTAGTGTAATCCAGCTGCTGATGATTTTGCTATGCTTCAGGTCCCAGGGCAAGGAGAAAGAGGCCGAGGCTCTGTTAAGAGACTCTATTCGCTATGGGCCTCACTTCGCTGATGCTTACTCCAGTTTGGCATCACTCTATGCTGAGCAGGTGAGTTCTCTTCAGTATATAACAAAAGTCCAAAATACACCAACATATATAAAATCATGTTGGATTCAGTTACATACTGTAAAATTCTGAATTTGTACACTTCAACCAGGTTCAATATATCGTAAAACACCAAAGGGAAATAAAACACTGGCAGAATGACAACCGGGCTGCCATTTACCCCATTATAAACCAAGTTTATGTGGTAAAGATGGCTTCTGCCTCACAGACTGAAACCAGAAGCTGGTTCCACAAGAGAGGAGTCTGAGAACAGAAAGCTCTGCCTCTCGTTCTACTTTTAGAAACTCTAGGCACTAGCGACCATTGTGCATGTAGCTGGATTTAATGAGCCGTCTCCCTCTCCGCCTCTCTTATTGGGTTTCTGTGATCCATCACTTCCTACATTCACTACATTTTACAGCCAACTGGAGACGACAGATTCACAAAGGGATGACAAGCTACTTTTACAAGTAGAGAATGTTGATAACAGATTGACAGACTGCAAAACCAGAACCATGGACAGCAGCATGGAGTGTCACCCTCAGACAGAGCATTTCTCTAACATATTGACGCATGTTTTTTCCTTCTCTCTGTTGTCTGAACTCAGCTCAGCCCAACGAGTTAGATAAAGTAGTTGGATGGGCTCGGGTTGAACTCTGTTTTGAACATCACGATTATAGAGAATTTCAATGATCAAGTCTGGAAGTGATAAATGCATGAGCTGGTGTTTCTGAATAACTTTAAATGGTAAATGGCCTGTATTTGATATAGCGCCTTCTAGAGTCCTAGAACCCCCCAAGGCGCTTTACAACACAATCAGTCATTCACCCATTCACACACACATTCACACACTGGTGGGGATGAGCTACAATGTAGCCACAGCTGCCCTGGGGCGCACTGACAGAGGCGAGGCTGCCGAGCACAGGCGCCACCGGTCCCTCCGACCACCACCAGCATGCAACGTGGGTTAAGTGTCTTGCCCAAGGACACAACGACAGCGACAGACTGAGCGGGGCTCGAACCTGCAACCTTCCAATTATGGGGCGAGCACTTAACTCCTGTGCCACCGTCACCCCATAACTGACTTTAGGTCAGGATTCCACATTTTACTAATATTGTTCAGATGGAAGAAGGCTGTCCTGATTATATGTTTTATGTGAGAGTAAAGGATGCTGGTCCGTAATAACGGCAGGGTTCCTTACATTAATACTGGAAGTCAAGTTGATTCCATCCAGAGGAAGAGAATGATTACTCAGTTGGTTCCTATGGGGCTCAGGTCCATAAACACAACATCTGGTTTGTCAGAGTTTTTTTTAAAGAGCAAGTCACGTCAAAATCAACTTGTTTTAGCTGATAACTAGTATAAATGAGTGTCTAATAGTGTTGTAGACATGTGTAGTTATTATTTTTGCATTTTGTTGCATTTTCTTTGAAAACTCTAAATTCTGTCTAAAAACGTCAGTCTATCGCCCTCTTCAGCTCAAAAGTATAGAACACGTATATTTTGAGTCAGTTTTAGCCAATGGCTAACGAGAACAATGCTACGTATTTCAGAAAAGTACTACGTAGCAGCTCTGTGGCTGTAGGTTATAAAAGCACCACGGTCTCAACCAGCCCAGTGTTCCCAACTTAGCGACATTGTCGCCATTTCTAACAACTTTTCAGACCCCCTTAATGACTTTTTTTCAAAAAAGTGCCTAGCGACAAATCTGGCGACATTTCTGACCCCCCTCAGCTACTTTGACTACAACTTTGTTGCCGACTTTACCTGCAGATTAGAGATGCATCTGAAGCGACAGGACCGTCCTTCCAGAGGATCAGAAAGAAAATGATCTGCGCATGTGCGTGCAGCATGATCACGCTACCCCCATTGACCAATCAAACCTTTTGTGGGTTTTCACAAGTCCATTATTTGAGATAGCTACCGGAGCTACATAAAGGGCGACCACTCCTTCTGCCATCCTGCCTCATTTCGGCAGCTGAGCTCGGCTGGCACTGGCAGGCAGTGCTGCACTCACACATGGCTTCTCGCACCACTTGGAACATTGAAACTCTATGATGAGTTCAATAACGTAGCACATTTAAAACTTTTATAAAAACAGAATAATACTGTAAGGCAAACACCTCAGGTCATTGGCAGTTTGCATGTAACGTTTCTGAATACTAAATACGGCCTGCTTCTTTTTACACAAAAGTACTAAAAACAACAAAACCAAACAAAAATAAAATATATACATTATCTTTTAGGTCAATATATAGCACTGAATCACAACAGAAGAATACATCTCAAGGCACTTGAAAACTACAAGAGAAAATTCATTTTAATTCAATCATACATACATTCCTATCAATTTAATATTTTTGTGTTTACGAGTTCCATTCTCTTCAGACAAAATAGAAATATTCCTTCCATTTTTTGTGCCATCTTTCCTTGATGTTTTAAAGGCTGCTGTTTTGTATTCTATGGGGTTTTTATTTTAATAAAAAATTAATTAAATAATTTTTTAATAAAATCACGTGGGCTTTGTTTGATTTACTCTACAAGACCGGTGACGTCATGACGCAAACGTGCTAGCTTCATCTCGTTACCCATCCGTCTTCGTCACTGCCGCGACTCCGCCCTCTCGGTCCGCCAGGCAATGCCTACTAAAGTTGCAGTTTTCAAAATTGATACGTGGGTGGAGAAGGACTCTGAGGCACGCTTGACCCGCCCTTTAATAACAAAACCCTTCGGGTCTTTAGGACATTTTCGTCTGATTCTTTGATTGCATGTGGCTTTATTGAGAAGTAAAACGGAGAAGCATCATTATAACAATAGAAATGTATCTGGTGTTGACTAATGATCAGAACCAGTGAACGTTTATAAAGCAAAGACAATTGGACCCCGATGACTTCCATTACAATCTTTGGTGCACAAGGAAGATTCACTATTAATGTGACCAAACAAGTCTGAGATAAATAAAACTTGAACCAGTCTTAGTCCCAATATACGTTTAAGCCTCTGGAGGAGAAAGTTGTAATCAGCTGCTTTAAACTCTGACATCTAACAACAAAGACACCAGTCCGCTGTCTTAGACCGTCACAGACACCAGTGTGAGATCTGAGTCAAAGCATTGTTTCCTCCATGGTAACACCATCCAAGGTGCTTGGTGGAGTTCATCCTTACTAACCTTAAAGGGTCAGTCATCCCCTCACCAGAGTCCTGCTCCGCCCACACTTCCTGTTTGAAAAATGTGCCTAAAGGAGGCGTCGCCTCGCAGACTGAAAGAGTGACGCTTAGAAAGTTACTGACAGCACCCCCAGGCACATGTGCCTGCACACACACACCTCTCAGTCGTAGGAGCAGAGAAACAGCAGCAGGCTGGAAGATTTTCTGTCCAGCTTGCTCCCTAGAAGAAAGCGGAGGAAGGGGATTTTTTTTTCAAGAGGCCCTGAGCCGTATTGTTGCATATCGGCTTGTGAAGGCGTAGCCAACACTCTGCTGCAGTCCAGTGCAGAGCAGCCACATTGTATGATAACATTTAACGCCACTGGGTGCCTCTTAGCCATTAGTGATGGTTAATTCAAATTCACTGTAGTGCAGACTTCTAACCTGATGAGGGCGCAATAATGACGATTTTAGGCAGAGTAATAATATTTTAAATAAGATGCACTAAAATGCCACAAAAATAACTGCGTGTCTACAGCACTAATACACACTAATTCATAGAGTTCATCAGCAAAGGAAAGTTTATTTAGGGGTGACTCGCTTTTTAAATTACTTTTCTTCCACAGAAACGCTTTGCTGAAGCAAATGAAGTGTATTTAAAAGGAATAGAGAATTGCCCCGACAACTCTGACCTACATAACAACTATGGAGTCTTTTTGGTGGATACTGGTGAGTAAAGGTTAATTTTCTTTGTAGCCCCGACTGAAGTTTTGAAAATGTGTTTACAAAGGGAAAACCATAAAATCTCAAATAATGTAAATAACCCATATGAGCGTGTGATGGAGTCAGTTGTGACATTTTTTAGTTATTTATAGTAGAAATACTCTCATCAGTCTCCTGGAGAAAAAAAAAACGTACAAAACAAACATTTCCGGCAGCTGGAGCATTTTCTCCATAATTGGTTGGTCAAAGTGGGAGCCGAGGAGCTTCCAGCTCATTTCCAGTCTTCTAGGTAGATCTGCAGGAGTAGAGAAGATCTCTTCAGAAGTGCACCAACAATGATCCAATCACCCTTTTCTACAGAATTTTTCTGAGTTTCAGCTTCACTGTTCTTTATAAAATACACAGACCTGTCCTAGTTTGGTTCTGTTGCATATGTGAGCCTGACAGGGTTCTAGACTTGCTTATTTAATAAGGGTTTTTTCCTGCTCAAACTGTTGCAGACTGCGTATGATGAGCTTTAGAACAAATAAAAGTGTGTGCCGCTGAAACACAAGGAGTCGCGAGTCGCTGAGGACTGGTTCTGGTTCTGTAAGCTGGACGGAGATCTCCTGGCTGATTGTGCACACGAGTCGCGCCCTCACAGCTAACACAAAGGCTCAGATCTGGACAAAGAGAACTTCCTGCCTCTGATCAGCAGAGAGTTACTACTGAATGGAGGAAGTAAAGCCTCTCAGAATCTGCTGATCTGTTTAGATTATTTCATGTGAAGGGTCTGCAGGTTATCCAACTCCATAATTACACAGCAACTGATAAGTCATAACATATGGACCATATCTATAACATCTATAGGTGTGGCAGTTGGCCCTTCCTGCCTTCCCAATTATTTAAAAGGATGATGTCCTAAACAAACACCTTCACTGGAAGAGTGTGATGGTGTATTTCCCCATGGAGAAACTCTCCCAGACCTTTATTTATTTATAGTAAAGGTGCTGATATGGTGTTCTGCTGGGGTGAAGAGAGGTCTTTCCTCCCTCTCCTCTGTGCTGTTCATAGCTGAGGTTGTGCCACATTCAGCAGGGATTAGAACCAGCTCTTCCCTGCAGGTAGAGCTGAGGTTTGACTCTAATTATTTCTCCGTTAGAACGTACCTGCTGTGAAAAGTGATAAAGAGTCTGGTTGCTCTGATTTGCCGCTATACTGATTGTACAGTGAAGCGTTCCTTTTACTATCTTCCTGCTGCTGCTGAACCACAGCTGGTGGCATCTCACGAGGTGAGCGTAAGAGGGGAAACCAAGCTCTGGTGCTTTATTAGAGAACAGGAATGCAGATTTCTTACCTCTGATTCAATTGTTTGAAATATTTTTTCTAAAGCACTCCCTGTTCTCTCTGATTCGTCTTCTTCCAGGAGAAGGCCAGCTAGCATCTTCTCACTACAGGGAAGCAATACGACTAAAGCCAGCTCATTATGTTGCCATGGTGAATCTGGGACGTCTGCTGAGATCATCCAATGAGAATAAAGAAGCCGAGTCTTGGTACAAGAGGTGAGACCAGTAATTTTAAACTTTTCTTTGTTAGCACACCTCTGTTGTTGCTTGGCTTCCCGGGGCTGGATGCTAGGAGGGGGATCTGGCCGTCTGGTTGGGGTCTGGGGTGGTGGGTTGCTTTGCTCAGCGTTGGGCGAGGGAACCTGCTCATCAGCACCCCAGCAGAAAGGGTCGAACTCTGGGAACCGGTGATGGTTGTACCCTTTGTGCAGCAGTACCGGGACCAGAGTGAATAGGGTGTGTATGGGGAGCATGAGTGGGTGTCTGGCGTGCAATTTTGTAAGTCTTAGGTTGTATGTGTATGACTGTATATTTCAGGTGGGGCCTTTGACTCCTCCTCTTTCCTGGGACTTCTTTTGATGCTATACATCTTTGCCTCCCCCCTCCCCCTTCCACACTTGGTGTGGAGTGTGGTGCCTTGGTCTGCCTGAGAGTTCGCGGCTCCCAGTTCAGGGGGTTTAAGATTTTTGGCGTCTGCCTGATAAATCCCGGTGGCTGCCTGGTGGGATCTGGGTCCCTGGGCTCTGCTGGGTCCCCGGCAGGGGTGGTCGCCCCTGGGTCCCAGGTTGCTGGGTTCCGGGCTCGGCCGGGCCGGCTATGGGGTGAGAGGCTGTGGGTGGGCCTGTGGGCTGGCCGCTGATATCGCCCGGGACTCTGCCGGCTGCTGGTTGTGGCCCCCCGGGGCAATCCTCTGCGACTCTCGAGGGGGGCAGGGGCTTTTCTGGTTGTAGTCTCCCTGGGGTCCCTGTTCTCTGGGGCAGCTCCCGGATCTCTGAGACTTGGAGCTCCCTCCATCTCCTACACATCTTTGGGGTGTCATGTTCTGCGTCTCCCTCAAGTGTCTCCTTGTGTTCTCTATCCCTCTCTAGGTTCACCTTATGTGTTCCTCATGTGTCTCCTTGTCTGTGTCCCCCCTCATGTGCCTCTTTGTGTTCCCCAGCCCACTCCAGGTTTTTTTCCCTTGTTCCCCTTAGGTTTCTGTGTCCCTGTGGTTCCCCAGCCGCCACCAGGTTCTCTCTAGGTTTTCCTTACGTTCTCCCTTTAGTTCTCGTATCTCCCTTCCCCATTTTTAGGTCTGGTTTCCTCCCCTGCTCCATTGTGCTCCTCCTCTCTGTTTATTAGTCTCACCTGTGCACAATTCCCTAATCACCCAGCCCTTGTGTATGTAACCCTGTCTGTGTCACAGTGTGTTGTTGGTTCATTGTTGTTTGTGTCAGCGTTGTCTCGTTTACCCCCTTAGTCTCTTGGTCTCTAGGTATTTGGTTTTTTCTCTAGGTCTCTTGGATATTGCTCTTTTGAATTTTTGGACATTTGGATCTGGGCTTCCTGCCCCTTCTTGGATTTTTGGTTTTTGGACAGTTATTCCTAAATAAAGGATTTTACGTTAGACTTCGCTCCTGCCTTTGTGTCGCTCTTGGTTTCTGCATCTTGGGTCCTAACCTCCTCCTGGCTCGCAGTGTGACATGGGGGGCTGATCTGTGGCCTCTCACTCTCTCTATTGGATGCTCCTATAGAGAAACCTTACATAAACAAGCGCGTGTACACACACAGGTGCTCACTTGGTGCTCTCATAAGTATAGACTTGGGCACATTCAACACATGTCTTAAGGCTGTGGTTGGCACTTAATGCACTGTGATTTATTATTGTGTGATTGTTCAGTAAAACAATGTTGATTTTATATTTCCTCATCAAGTTGACGCAGTGATAGTTTGCTCCTGTTGTATTGTTTTGTGTTCCTTTTCTTCAGGTCTAGAAGCAGACCCCTGTTCATCATTGTTGTGGAACACTTCCTTTCTCTTACACCTCTGACTCCGTGTCTGGTCGGAATTACAAAGCATTCAAAAAACAATAACAATAAAGTTTTAAGTATCAGGCGTGACATTAAAAGCAGACGCTTTAATGCTCCACCTGAGAGTAAATCTGTAAGGCTTGTCACCAGCATTCAGACATCAATTCTGTTTGCTTCACAGCCAGACAGGACACGGAGAAAAAAAACAAAAAACTTTTCTCTGAAAAAAAAAAAAGTCAAGTTTTGTTGCACCTCTAATGGCAGGGGTCTTCCACTAAATTTGTCCAGGGGCTGGAGTTTTTTCCAGCAGATGCCGTGAGGGCCAGATGCTCTTCTAAAGTAAAGTTCAAGTATTATTGTATCGAACAGATCTCAACAAAACATCAGTTACTTCAGCGAACTGCTAATAGGCAGATGAATATTCATAGACCCAAAATGAGCTTCTCAGGGACCTCGCAAGGAGAGGAACAGCAAAAGAAGAAGAAAATATCATTTCTATAGCGCCTCAAGATAAAAATCACGAGGCGCTTCACAAGAACAAAAGTTAAAATATAAAAAAGCATTTAGAAAATGTTTAAAAATATATTTCAAATGAGCAAAAATAGGCAATTGGGATTTAAAAGAAAAAATGTTAAAGAGAGAGAGTGAACAGGAAAGAGGGAAATCAGTGGATCCTGAGGAAGGTGGAATAGGTGGGGAGAGCAGAATAAAGAGAGAGTGGTGAAGAAGGTCATACAAAAGCCAGCTTGAACAGGTGAGTCTTCAGCTGCTTTTTGAAGGAGACCACTGAGTCCACTGATCTCAGGCTCAGGGGGAGAGAGTTCCAGAGTCTGGGGGCCACAGCAGCAAATGATCTGTCACCTTTGGTCTTTAGCCTGGTGCTGCACAACCAGTAGGCTTTGATCACTGGACCTCAGGGACCTGCTGGGGGTGTAGGGACTGAGAAGATCACCCATGTAAGATGGTGCTTGTCCATGTAAGGCCCTATAGACCAGAACCAGGATCTTGAAATGAACCCTGAAGTTGACTGGCAGCCAGTGAAGCTGGAGGAGAAGCGGGGTGATGTGGATGTGTTTGGAGGACTTGGTCAGAAGCCGAGCACAGGCATTCTGAACCACCTGTAGACGGTTCAGGGAGGTTCTGCTCAGACACGTGAAAAGAGAGTTGCAGTAGTCTAAACATGAGGAGATGGAAGGTGTGGATAACGGTCTCAAGTTCAGAATGGGACTCAGCTTAGCAATGTTCCTGAGATGGAAGAAGGAAGAGCGAACAAGAGAACTGACATGAGAATCCAGGGTGAGAGCTGGGTCAAAGGTCACGCCAAGATTCCTGACAGAAGGTTTGGTGTGAGAAGCAAGCTGACCAAGAGAGTCTCTGACTTTGGGAACCAGCTTGTCTGGGGCACAGATGAGGATCTCAGTCTTATCTTCATTCAGCTGCAGAAAACTCCCAGCCATCCAGGTTTTAATAAAGTCTAAGCAGGTGTGTAACAGCTGCAGCTTAGACATCTCATGGGGCTTAAAGGAGATGTACAGTTGGATGTCATCTGCATAAAGATGGTAGGAGGAAAAGAGGATGTTGTACAGTTAACCGGGACATCTGGTCAATTTATCACTAAAATAACATCAGGTTTGTAGTGATACCTATGGTGGCTCTGCCCACAAGGGGGCAGTATTAGATAATCTATTTAAGGGTAGAGGTGAGCACTGATGAGAGAATGATGTACAGCTGGAGAAGGCACACAATAAACATCTTTTGTGAAGAACCTGAAACTTGGTGCATACTTCCAGAAACATTACATGGTACCAGGAGTGGGGTTCTGCCATGGATAGTGTACGGCCTCCAGAAGCTGTTGTCTGGACTGGAAATGTGGATTGTGAATGGCGTTCGTTCAAGCAACGCTTCATGCTGTATTTGCAGGCTGTTGGCCTGGATAGCAAGCCTGATGTTCGCAAGATTGCTCTGTTGCTTACAGTGGCAGGACCCCGCGCTGTGGAGGTGTTTAATACCTTTGTCTTTGAGGATGAGGAGGACCGACACAAGTTTGACGTTGTGTTGCAGAGGTTTGATGATCACTGCTCACCGAAGAAAAATGAGACATTCGAGAGGTACGTGTTTCGTGCACGTTTGCAGCAGCAGGATGAAAGCTTTGATGTCTTCCTGACGGATTTGAAGTTAAAGGCACGGACGTGCAATTTTGGAATTCTTCAGGATTCGCTGATCAGAGATCAAGTTGTGTTTGGAATACATGATACAAAAGTGAGAGAAAAGCTGCTGAGAGAGACTGATCTTACGTTGATTAAAGCTGTGGATATTTGCCATGCGTGTGAAATAGCCCGGCACCATGTGAAAGCTTTTGGTGATGGAGCGGGGGAGCGGGGAATGGAGCCTGATGTTGCAGCTGTTTCATGCCAACGGAAATGTGGACAGGACAAGGAGAGGTCGTTTTCCTGTCGAAGATGTGGGACGCGACATGCACTGAGACAATGTCCCGCATTTGGCAAGATGTGTAACAGCTGTAAAGGACTTAATCATTTTTCCAAATATTGCTTTTCTAAAAAGAAGCCTGAAAAGCATGATCCTGTACACACTGTGGAAGAAGCTTCCCTGAGCGAGACTTTCTTTGTGGGTCTTGTGGAACGTGATGCTGACGTGTCTCCATCTGCTGTGACGTGCGGCGTGAAGGTGGATAAATGGACAGTGCCACTGCTTGTGAATGGAACTGTTTTTCCTGTGAAGTTGGACACTGGGGCGAAGGCTAATTTGATAAATGAGCGTGATATTGAAGCCATGGATGTGAAACCGCTCATTCGTCCGGCATCTAGCACCCTCAAAGCCTACAATGGCCAATCCATCATCACCAAAGGCAAGTGTACTCTCACAGTACACGTTAAAGGTAAAGAACACGACTTGGAGTTTATAGTTGTGCCGGAAGGTCATGATTCTTTGATAGGAGATGAAGCATGTGAACGGCTAGGTTTGGTCCATAGAGTGTATCATGTCAACGGGGATCCGCACAGCAGCGCAGAAACTATTGTTGGCCAATACCCGGATGTATTTGAGGGTTTTGGGGCCTTGCCCTACACATATAAGATACATCTCAAGGACAATGCCAGACCTGTTGTTCATGCTCCTAGGCGAGTTCCGGGTGCCCTGAGGTGCAAACTGAAACACGAACTCGACCGGATGACCCTGTTGGGAGTCATA